GGCTTTAAGTTCGCCATTTCTGTTTTGATTCGAGTGAAATCTCTTTCTTACCCCTAAATGTGTGTATTAAATATTTAGATGTTTCCTCATCCTTTGTGTGTGTTTTTCATTATAGAGGCTATTCCCATCCCTGCTGATCAGCCCATCATGCAAATCAAAAACCTGGAGGAGGTTGCCATCCCCACAATGGAGATCAAGGTAAAACACGATCAAACTTCTCTGCATTATCCCGACTATTTTGTGTGATGTAAATCCTGAAGACACTTGAATATTTATGAATGCTAGGGACTTCCTATTACATTTGATTTAATTCGATTAACCCAATGGATTTAATTTTGCTGATATTCTGGTTGAATGTCACTTTATAAAATAGTTTTCCTGCTCTAATGCACTTTTTTTTATGCTTAATGTGAAAAAACAAAGATTTAAATGTTGTGTCTGAGTTGCTTGAGCATGGTTGGCAGCAAATGACACATCAGGTACAGATGTCTTGAGATATCAAACCAGTATTTGTTCATTTTGTACCAACACTACAGAACAAAGCAGCTCCGCCCATGACCCCACATTTAATAAAAGAGACATTTAGGTATTTAGCACTCAGGACAGTATATTTAAACAAGTGTGTTGTGAAATAACAAGTGCTGTTGTGTTGTGTCTATAGGTGGATCCATCTGGATGCTATGACAACCTGGTGACCGTCGGATCCTTCACGCCTCAGTATCACCTGGTCGGAGGCGTCAACCTGCCCAAGATCATCGACTGCGTCGGCTCCGACGGCAAGAGCAGAAGACAACTGGTCAAGGTAAGAGTGTGCGTCTTCAAGTGTCTTTGATTCCCTGACTCGTACGTGAAGAGAGCTCATGTTACAAAACGTGTGCAAAGACATTTGTTTCTGTCGGGTATGTGGTTTGTTCTCGACTAAACAAATCTCTTCTCTTTGAAGCCAAAGCTGTGTGTATTTGTGTGAGCGCATGTTTTGTGTTTGTGGTACCACTTGTCAGCCACTTAAAGGCTAATAATTCACCACTTAGACACTTGAGAGAGTCATGGTGGCCAGAGCAGTTTTTCCCCCCCGATCTTTAACCTCAGTGAACTCTACTTTTCAATCACTGTGCTCTCAATGTCACTTTGTTCGCCCTTGTTTATGTCCCATGGAGAAATATGTGGAATATTTCGGGATATCTTACACAATCATAAATCAGAATGAATTTCACATTACTGAGTCTGTCTTGAGCCTTTCTTGTATTTTGAAGACTTTCGTGTTGATAGAAGTAAAATGGCAAAAAAAATGAATAATTCCTTTGCTTTAATTGTAGAGCACAGAATTATACGGAGGCTCTCGGTGCTGTGGTCCACAGTATGTTCTCCAGTGACCGCTCTTTGTTAACAGGGTCAGGACGACCTGCGGCAGGACGCAGTGATGCAGCAGGTCTTCAGCATGTGCTCCATGCTGCTGCAGCGCAACACGGACACCCGCAAGAGGAAGCTCAACATCAGACGATACAAGGTAATACACATTTAATCCTTTTTTTACCACTTGATCTCGTATTTAAACCTTTTGCTCTTTAATTCATGGGGAACATAATAAATCAGGAGGAGTTTTTTTGGTTACATGTTTGATCTTTGTGTTGTCGTCTTGTAATTCCCATATTTTCTTGAAAGAACCCATCAAAGCAGTTTAAAAAAACACTTAATACTTTCTTTCTTCTTCATCCCAGGTGGTGCCGTTCTCACAGCGCAGCGGTGTGTTGGAGTGGTGTTCAGGCACGGTGCCTATCGGGGAGTTTCTGGTGGATCCCATTAAAGGAGCCCACAAACGCTTCAGACCTCAGGACCCGACCAGCCTGACCTGCCGCAGGAGGATGACGGTACTGCTCGGAGCATATCCATCACTTAAATGGAAAATATTCAACACAGTCCTACACAATTACTAAGGGATTTGTTTCTGATAAACCACAGCCGTCTCAGTTTGCTAATCGTGGTCTTTTTCCATCTTTGCATTTTAATTGATTTCGGTACAACTGCAGGAGGCTCTGAAGCTGGGGTTTGATGAGAAGCTCCAGGCCTACAGTGAGGTGTGCAAGAACTTCAGGCCGGTCTTCAGGTATTTCTGCATGGAGCGATTCCTGGACCCCGCGGTGTGGATGGAGAAACGGCTGGCTTACACTCGCAGTGTGGCCACCTCTTCTATAGGTACAGACAGTCCTGCATGTTCACCCCAGGGCTTGTGTTCAGCTCAATACCAGGTTACACCTCAGGTCATCTTAAGAAGGGGCCATGGTATAAAACGGTATAAATTGTGACACAGACATAGCAAATTATTACTGGTATTAATTCATTTCATTATAACCAATAATAGTGTAGAAAACACTTTTGAATTCAACCGATGAACTGATAACGTTTCTGTTCTGTGCCCACAGTTGGCTACATCGTAGGTCTGGGTGACAGACACATCCAGAATATTCTGGTTGATGAGCAGACTGCTGAACTGGTGCACATCGATTTAGGTAAAAATCATTCTCATTAGTTTTATGTATTAACAGTTAACTCTGTGTAAACAACTGCTGACTGTACTGAGCTCGCTGTAGTTCATGCAAAGAGACGCAGACTTGTGTAACTCTGCAGGAGATCCGTCCTGCATCTAGAAGAGTTTGATGCATTTTTGATTTGACAATAAATTAAATGAGATATGGACTCTTGCCATAAAACGCACACAGCTTTATAACTCTTTAAAGCTCAAAGATCAAGACATTGTGAATAAATGGTGTAACATGCATCCTAACACACACCTCTCTCTCTCTCTCTCTCTCTCTCTCTCTCTCTCTCTCTCTCTCTCTCTCTCTCTCTGTTTACTTTTCATTGCTGTTGGTGTTCAGGTGTGGCCTTTGAGCAGGGGAAGATCCTCCCCACCCCCGAGACTGTCCCCTTCAGACTGTCCAGAGACATTGTGGACGGGATGGGCATCACTGGAGTGGAGGGGGTTTTCAGGAGGTGAGGAGGAGGAGTGAGGGAGGAGGAGGACATGTTTGTTCTGATATTATCAAACCTTCATAAACAAAGACTAATAGGAAGTCCAACCCAAGAATGTTTTCATATCGGGTTTCTTTTCATTATAGTTTCATTTTTGGTTTCCACTATTTTATATTCATGTCACAACAGTGTAAAATGGCCATTTTTAAAACGGTTTGGTTAGTGGTGCCTTCAAAGAAACCCTGATGAATACAGAATTTGAATGATCTTCACTTGTCTTCTCTGGTCAGATGTTGTGAGAAGACTATGGGGGTGATGAGGAGCTCTCAAGAAGCTCTGCTGACTATTGTAGAGGTACGATCACTGGACACAGACTCTTAAACCACGTGGGATTTCTTTCACCGTATTTAAAGTGTTGCCTCTGTGTGTTAATGTGCTGTACAGGTGCTGCTGTATGACCCTTTGTTCGACTGGACCATGAACCCGCTGAAGGCCTTCCAACTGCAGCATGACGAGCAGCAGGAGCTCAACGCAACGCTCGGCTCCACCATGGGGGGGGGAGATGACATAGACAACCACCGTAAATCCAGGTGCTACAGCACATGATGAGAACTGTTTTTAATCTTTTGCTTCCTAAACGGCCCTTTTGATGATGTTGAAGTCCTGTTTCTGTCTCTGTTAAAGCTCTGTCTCATCGTCATATACTCTTGCCTCCCGCAGTGACAGTCAAAGCTTCAACAAAGTGGCGGAGCGGGTGCTGCTGAGGCTGCAGGAGAAGCTGAAGGGGGTGGAGGAGGGCACGGTGCTCAGCGTGGGGGGGCAGGTCAACCTGCTCATCCAGCAAGCCATGGACCCCGAAAACCTCAGCAGACTCTTCCCAGGCTGGCAGGCCTGGGTGTAGACTTGAGAGGAGGTTCACTCACGCTGGTTAAGTTCCTGCTTCAGGCAACACGTTTGATGTGGACGCTTTCTTCTTCTCCTCTGTATGATCAGTACTGAGGCTTCTTGCTCTTTGCTTGTGCCAGAAAAAAAAAGCGGACTTTAGGAAGTCAAACTATTTGAAAACATCTGGATTGCAACAGATTTTACCCTGCAAAAGAAATAATGATGTTGGTCTGTTGTTGAAGGAATAATATCACCACATAGTTTGAGGAAAAAGAAGACATTATGCAAATGAGCTTCAGAATATAAACATGGTGAAACAAGTCCCATGGTCACTTGTTTATTGGTCTTTTGACCATCTTCAATAAAAGGGAGTTCTCTAGTACTCGTTTTCAGAGTAAACACCAACAGATCAACATTTTTGTCTTTCAAATTATTCATTTCTGCTAACCTTTGCACTTTAACAGACCATCAATTCAATTTGGCAGATTGCTTGCACTAATTCGTGCAAAACAAACCATAAAATCACATTTTTTACTGCAAACTCCTGAGGGAATTTAAAAAGACCAGTGAGCTGTAGTGCTGAGATGAGTCTGACGTGTTTATGTAAAAGTCTTTTTTTAGCCCATGGCATGTGAATGTTTTCATGCTTTTGACTGTCGTATGAAGTTATTATGTTTTTTGCCAATGACTACCCGAAGCTGTTCACCATGAACACGCCTTATGAATGTATGATGAGCCTTATCCAAGAGGAGTTTGTTTCAGTTCAGCTGTTTTCCAGTTTAGTTTGTTTTACGTTTAAATTAGTGAATATTATGTGCCGTAAAGCTTCAAGAGTATATTTAATGCTTTCAGAAATGTACGATATGTGTACAGATTATACTTTGTATTATGTACCTCTTCTGTAAAAAAAAATAATGCTGCCATTTAACATGATTTCTGTATCACTAAATAAATATAACAAACGGCAGTAAAAACACATTTTTGTCAAAAAATGATCTCTCAGTTAATTAAATTTAACTGACTGAAGTTTATTTACAGATATAACTGCGTTTTCTGTCAATCATTGACTCGGGTATGGAGGCTTAATGTGTTTGCCTGTATACAGTTCATGTCGTGTGGTACCTTTCCATTGCTCGGTGTAACAGCACTCGCTCACCACACTGACAGCTCGGCAGAGAACACTTGTGGGATGTTTAGACCAGGCAACAGTCCTCATTGTGCCTGTTGTGTGCTCAGGAGGGAAGTTTCAAAGCGATGCCAGTGAAGTGTGGGGAGCGGCCACTCGGACGATCATACAAACGCTTTGTTTCATCGCTGTGATGTGAGAACTCAGAGAGCAGAGCTTATCTTTAACCTTCACTAACTCTCGGGAGTGGACGCTGATATTGACCAGATTATTTACGTGCAAGTTTGATGATTGAAATATCGCAGGAGGACATTTTTCACACTGCAGCCATCGGTTGATTGTGAGATATTTTTTGGTTAAACAGAATGACCACCAATCCGGTAAGTTTTCATTTTATTTGTATCGGTTTGAAGAAGGTGAAGTCCATTTCATACTATAATAATACCACAATGAAAATACAAGTTTATAAATGTGAGTGAATAAAATGCGTACGATTTTGTGTTTGAAAAGCTGGACAATCTCACAAGTACATTTACATTTTAGGCTTTTCTTTCATCTTTAACTCAAATTTCTAAATCCCATAAGTATTAGCGCTTCTCTCTTGTCTCATCACTTATGCTTTACTGACAGTACCTGGAAGATGAGAGGATGAACCTTCCTCCACTCAGCGGATCAGATGTGAAGCCTCAGTATGTTCATCATGTGGCCCCGAAACCTCCACCTGAAATCAGCCACCTCTGTCCCAAACACAAAAGTAAGCCAGTCTCCTGTTCAATACTGTTAAAGTGATTCCTTGTGCAAAGAAGGACTAATTGCAAGCGAAATACAATGTATTATGTGACATTTATATTTCAATGTTTGCAGTTTGTACTAAATGTTTAAAAAAAAATCCAAAAATGTAAATAAACTTTCCAATTTTTGTATGTTAGAGTTACAGAATAAATGTGGTCAACTCATGACTGCTAACTGTATGTCAGCCTAATACAACATCAGTACTTCCATAGAGATGCATTCATATAAGTGTTTTATTTACAGAGTTCTTTAAACGGCAAAGAACAAAAATAACAGATGCTGTTATATAATTAAAAATAGATAAAGCCTGGCTTAAAAGTGCATTTATTAAACACATTTATCAAGTGTGTGTGTGTGTGTGTGTGTGTGTGTGTGTGTGTGTGTCTCTCGTCCTGTCAGGTGTGAAACAGAGGTGTGCTAAGTTCACTGTGGCTGCTGTGATCTCCCTGCTGCTCCTCCTGCTGGTGGCTGGAGTCCTCCTCGCTTATTACTGTGAGTGCAGGTTACTGTGTCCGCTGTAACGGCTCATGTGCTATTATAACCGAGAATCTGTGAGTTGATTCTTGTCTGTTGTCGCCTCAGTCTCCTCGTCTTGTGCGCACGGGATGCAGTGTGGTGATGGGAGCTGTGTGTGGGAGTCCCAGTGGTGTAACGGAGTGACGGACTGTCGTTCAGGCCAGGATGAAGCTAACTGCGGTAAACAAGCTCCTCCAGGGGCCAAAGTGCGGGATGAGACACACCTGAAAACATGTTCACTCGCCTTTATATTTATAAAACCAAGCTACACATTTATTACAGCTAAAAGGAACACTTTAATATTGTTTTTTAATTTAACCTCTACAATCTTAGATTATAGACTACATCTAACATCTGTGCCTGTATTTGTTAACGTCCTATTAACACACTGCTGCTCAGGATTGTCCTGTAGCTCCACATAATTTAAATTGGCCATCGTTAGTGGGGTAATAGTGTTGATAGAAATTATATAAAATGTGTCATCTTTATGAGAAAGACTACTTAGGATCTGCACTTAAAGCATCAAACTTCACTCCAGAGTCCAAAGAGAACGTTGTTGTTAAAGGCCAGTTATCTGTTATGTTACCTGAGTCTGGTCATCCACTTCCCACTGTTTGTGCTCAGTGAGGCTGCATGGCTCCAGCTTCCTGCTCCAGATCTACTCGACTCAGAGTAAAAACTGGAGGACTGTTTGTTCTCACGGCTGGACCGACCAGCAGGGGAGAGCAAGCTGCCAGCATGTTGGCTTCAGCCGGTAAGATGCTCCTTCACTTTTTTTTTTTTTTTTCCCTCGATAGTCTGACATGTGAAGGATTTGTGTGTTTAACTGAAGCCGTATATTTTCCCTTATGTGGTTTGACAGGGGCACATATTTCAAATCAGGCCAACAGCAGACTGATTCAGATGATGGGTACTTAATAGCTAAGTCTGACTTCAACCCTGAGGCTTCCATACTGCAACAGCTGGTGCTCAGGTCAGTGAACCGGTGGAGATGAACCAGTGTAAATGTGTTCATGCTAAATCAACATGGACCTCGTTACACCTCAAATGTCTTTTCTTCTGCCATCTGCAGCAATAGCTGTCCCAACAACAGTGCGGTGACATTGCGTTGTACTGGTATGTTAATACTATGAAGTGTAAGGGGTGGGTGGAACTGGTTCTGCATTTGTGTTGATTATTTGCTGCAGTTAAAGATTTTTGATATATTTATATTTAATATACCTAAGACATGCTAGCTTTTGGAGAAATAATATGCAGGACTAAGTGTTCTCTGCGGTGGCTTTGGTCTCCTCTATGTCGTGTGCATACATCACATTAAATGCAAAAATTATATTAAAAAAACACGACAAGACTATAATTATACGATTTTTCACTTTCAGTTCATTGTTCTGCATCTTTGCTCTCCTCTTTACAGTTCTTCTTTACTTTTATCCACACTTTGACTAAACAGTTGTGGCCCCCTTTTGCACCTGCTTGTAAAAGCCCTGTAGCAGTGAAATGCGTCCTCTCTAACAGCAGTTTTTCCCTCAGATTGTGGAAGTGGGGTGAACTCCAGCAGGGCCTCTGGGGGCCAGCTGGCCTCACCGGGGGCCTGGCCGTGGCAGGTCAGCCTGCAGGTTGCAGGCTCCCACCGCTGTGGAGGAGCTGTCATCTCCCCCTACTGGATAGTCACTGCAGCACACTGTGTGGCCAGGTGAGGCCTTTTCACCACAGCATTTGTGGCCTGATCCAGCTTGAATCTACTCTCTGTGTCTCTCCCCTGCAGGGCCTCCAGCCCTGAAGACTGGGCAGCGTACGCTGGGATAGTGGATCCACTAGGTACTCTGTTTACCCCGGCATACTCTGTGAGCCGCGTTATAGCCCACGAAGGCTTTAACTGGGCCACTCGCAGGAATGACATCGCTCTGATGAGGCTCTCTAAACCTCTGGACATCACAGGTGTTTAAAGGCACATTTACATACACAACGATGATAAACATTGATGAATATTTAGTTTATTGAACTTGGACCTAAATCTTTTTGTGACCAACAATAAAAGCACAGGGTTGTCCTTGTGTAGTCAGTTATTTTAGTTAGTGTAATAACAATACTTATATATACTTATACTTATCGTATATATCTCTTATATACCCTCAGTTGCCAGTTTATTAGGTACACCTAGCTAAAACTAATGCACTCTAATACTACAGTCCTGCAATAAATTCTCTCTTCATCAATGTTATTATGTTCAGTTTTTGTTGAAAATGTTTTAGAACGCTGTTGATTCAACTGTATGATCATTTTTGAGGATGTAGTTATACTGTCAAGTGTTTCTATTATTTTGTCCACCCCATTTATATCAGTGAGGGTAGACTAAATACCAGAAACACCTCTCTGTATAACGTAATACAGTTCAACAGCCCCACAAACTGCAGCCTCCAAAATGACATTTTTATTTTCAACACCTCTCTAAATCAGTTTCAACTGGAAGTGAATATTTGAACCGTCATGAAGGGAGGATTTATTGCAGGACCGCTGCATTAGACTGCATTAGTTTTAGCGAGGTGAACTCAATAAACTGGCTACTGAGTGTATATCCTTTCCTCTGTGGAAACCAGCTGATAAATGACAACAGACATATTCTTTCTTTTGGTAGCCTCTAGTGATATCAGACCTGTGTGCCTCCCAAATGTTGGCGTAAACATCACTGATCCTCAGACGGGCTGGATAACACGATTCAGTCGCACAGTAAATGGAGGTGAGACAGTTCTGCTGACACGTGGTTATGTGTTGTGATTCAACGACAAGACGTTTCAAAGATACTAGAATTCTAAACAATTTAGAAGTGTTTAAAGATAAAAACAATAGTATTCACTGCTGTCTGTTACGTTGACTACCACTGGATGGCACCAGAGTCTGGAGAATTGTCACTCCGCACTCAATGGTAGTGATTAACAGTGATGGAAGAAGTACTCTGATATTATACTTCAGCAAAGGTTACAATACTATAGTGTAGAAGTACTCTATGACAAGTACTGCATTCTGAATTTTTGAAGCATTCAAATATACTTAAAGTACCAAAAGTAAACAAGCTCATTATGCATAATGTTCCATTTGAGAATATATTATATTATTGGATTGTACATATTGATGCAGTTCGTGTACAGTACATCACTTTAATGTCACAGCTTGTAAAGCTGAGGATCATTTTACTGACTTTATAAAGTCTCATCTAATCTTAAACTATATTTTTTATTATTAATCTCAAAGTAAATAAAGTTCTATTGAAGTGCAGTACTTCAGTAAATATACTTTGTCACTTTCCACCACTGCCTATTATCACATACAATGTATATGAATTTATTTTGACAGACTCTGGCTCTCCACACCTGATCGAGGCTCAGGTCTCTCTCATAAATACCGCAGACTGCAACAAGTCCGTCGCCCACGATGGCAGAATATCACAGGACATGTTATGTGCCAGAGAGACGGAGGCAGTAGCCAACGTGTGCCATGTAAGACAAACCACACGGAGATTTAAATACTAAAAACCAACATGAATCTCATTTTGATGAGACAATGATACACATATTAAAACATGTCACAATTAGTTTTTATTTTGTAGTAAGTACCAGATGGTTGCAGTGTGACTGCCCCCAGGGTTAATATGTCTAGATATTAGCTGCAAATACATTCCATAAATACAGAACTGATCCGATAGAACAATGTACTCAAAGAAATGAGAGTTCAGCCAAAGCGACAACAAACACTCTTTATGATGAGATATTTTCTGGGGCAAATTGAGCAGTTCCTGCACTTTAAAAAGCATTTTCATGCTCTTATGTAACTTGCTTTGAGGCCTAGTCCAACAAGACCTGCATTATGTTCTGTACATGTTGAAAGCTTTAGATAAACAGTTCCACTTTGTGACTTACAACAAACCCCCTCATACAGTCCAGTCAACAATGAATGTAAAGTTAGATCACTGAGGTGGCAGCTGACCATGATATGTTTTATTTATGGACCTCGGAAATCCTTGAAAGACCTTAAATGCTTCCGACACTGCATGAAAAGCCTTTATGGTGTTTGAATCTCACCAAAAGAGACATTAAGATCATTGTAATGAGTTTGCTCTTTAATGTGGGAGTCTTAATAAGTGTTACATGTGTCTTCCAGTGTGTGTAGTTCATAAAAATATCAATTAGTTTTGTGCTGAACTCTTTCTCAGACTGACAGCGGCGGCCCTCTGGTGTCCCTGAAGGATGGAGTATGGTGGCTCATAGGGGACACTATTTGGGGGGAACACTGCACCGAGCAGAACAAACCAGCCGTTTATGGCAACATCACCTATTTTCTGGACTGGATCTACAATCAGATGAGGGTAAAAACCGATGAAAGATTGGACTTGTAAGGGCAGTTAAACAAAACCAGATTCTAATTGATGCAGAGGATTTCCATGTACTGTATGTACGGATCATTTGTAGCATTTGATGTAAGCTGCTTGGAAGACCAGCTGCAATAAGGTTTATCTGTCTGGTGCTCCAAGTATTACTGCTCGACACATGCTGGACGTACAGTGAGAACTTACACAGCGGAGCTTTGACATAAGCAGGGTCTTTGTAGAGCAGTGAGCAATTAATCTCAATTACGGCTGAAAAAACCCACAATTATGAAACAAAAAACATCTTGTTTATTTTATTTTGTATTTTCTTTACAGAAGCATCGAGATGACTGAGGATGACAGGACCAAAGATGAACCATCTGAGATGTTTGTGTTTACAATTTATTTTTTAAGTGTGCAAAGATACATCTTTATATCAATGCCTCAACAATATCTGTATCAGTTACATATTACATATGTATTTTCTACATATTACTGTTCCGTGTTTTTATCATGTCGATTTACTGTTGATGCTCAAATTCACATAAGAAGCTCAAATGAACAATGTTTTCCTATTATCTCATCAGAACAATTAGTTTGTTTTAATTTGATACATGTGTAGTTAAAGTCTTAATTATAGTCTTTGTAAATATGGTTGAAGTGTTTACTTTAATAAATGGTGATATTTAAGCTGGTAGATAGAGATACCGTGTGCCAACATAACAAAACCACAAGTCACTCACAAACCACATGCAGCTTGTTCTTTCGTAACCTTTCACAAAAACAAACCTTTATTTATTTAAGATGATTTACATCTTCGATTTGATCCAAAGCTATTTTATTTACAGCACAAATACGATTTTGGCACAGAAAAGAAATACTTATAAATAGGTGAGCTTCAAAGATTCAAGTGTAGCTTTAATTTGTCAACTTTACATTTTGGCAGACAGTGACACATTTGTGCAGCTTGAAACACTGACTTTGTATAGAGACTGTAACATAACGCTTGACAACTTGTTGTTGCTAACAAGTCGTTCAGCTTTGCAAGAAAGCCAACCGTCCACATGTAGCCAGAATGAGCATGTGTATCCAATGTGTCTGTTTCAGAAATCGTCTGATTTATTGTTTGTATAAAATATGCATTATAAATATGTATCCTTGAATATCTAGTGTCTAAAAAGCAAACATTTGGATGAATAGAATCACATTCAAAGAGAATTAAATATAAACTTGGACATAATTAGTAAGATTACATTAATACAACAAATTGCGTAACAGATTGAGAAATATTGATCTTTAGCTATATAATCCACTTTTGATTGATTTAAGAAACAAAGTGCAACTCAGCAGAGTAAGTCTCAAACTGCTGATACGGTTTATCATTTGGTAGGAGCAGTGAGCTGAGACTTAATGGCACTACAGGCACTGTAAACGCGAGTAACCTCTAGTAATATTCTTCCTATTGACAGTGATTGTTTGAGCAGCTTTTCCCCTTAACTTCAAAGTACACAGGCATCACTTTCACTCAACAGAGGACTGGAGGTCAACTTCAAAATATAAGAAGGCACAAGAAACATTCCTTCACTGATCACAGACTGGAAAGGCACATCTTAATGGGTGGTTTGCCTGGAGAGAAAATCAGTAACTTTTAAATTGTTCAAGAATGCACCAACGGTTGTTGAGGACCTGCAGTCCTGTGTTTGTCTCAGGAAGACTCCACCCTTAGCTCGTATGATACTGTCATACGTCATTGCTGGTGTGCTGTTTAGTGTGCGTCTGGAGTTTATTTTGTGATGAAGTGATTTATACTTTGCTTCACCCTTCTGTCGTCATACCTACTAAAAACTGCTCTGTAGCTACATTTCATTACCGACTTACTACAGTCAGTGGAGAAATTGCATCAGTCTTCCCCTGTGTCACACATGACATCAGTGAGAATAAGCAATAGTCACCCTCAAAAAAGAAATTGGAAGCATGAATACAGCTGTTTTTAAGAAGAGTTTTTAGGCTGGATTTTCCTGTCAAGAGGCAGTTGATCTGTCTGTGTCTATCTCCACGGGCCAAGCCGTTGAGTCCAGTCTAGAATCAGTCAGACATTCAGAGGCACGCGTCCCTGTTTGGTGCAGGCCGAGCCGCACCCCTTTCTGCACCGCTGTGGATGGGCTCAGCTCGCTGTTCGCCCTGTCCGCCCATCCTTTTCCCCTCAGTCACTTGATGCGGTGGCGGACCAGAGACGACTCGTCGGTAATCTCCCCGGAGCGGTTTCTGCGGCAGGGCAGTACCAGCAGGAGCAAGAGGATGATGAGGACCACCGCGCAGACCGCCATCAGGGCGTAGGAGATCACCCACATAAGGGGCTCCTTCAGCCGCCCGCCGGAGCAGTTGGCCGCCACGTCTGCTGCTGAGAAGGGCCCTGCGATCTCTGACAGAGCCTCTCCATCGCTCACTGCAGAGAGATACAAGACAGATCGTTGCGTGTCTCACGTCTGACTGGCGAGTAAAAAGTCAAATATAAATGTGCTGGAAAACTTAAAATATCTATGCACCAGCAATAAAAACTCATGTATGAGCCTCTTAAAACAGCAACAGTTGTCTTAGAATGGCGGCATCATTGAAGTATTTAAAGGTTAATTCTTTTATACATGGACAAGTCATCAATAGATGATGATGATAATAGTTCTCTGTCTAGATTTCACCAGCCAGCTCGGAAATTACAGTTGGCAACCCTACTGTCACAAGCCTGCATCCTTAACCTTCAGCCTACATCTGCCAAGTCGGTTTGCTTAATACAGAACAAAGGTGATCTTTGTGCTGTAACATGAGAGTTGGAAGCCCTGCCCAAGCTCATATTTGCAGAAAACTACAGGGAAGTGTGACTGTTAAAAGGTTTAACCTTTTGCTGTTTAGGTCCTGATGAGCAGGATATTCTCTGGGTTTTGGTCAGTGAACCTGTGAGTAATGTTAAATAATACTTTGTACTTTACCGTTTGCCTTTCCATAAGTTATCAGTTAATAAAGGCACATTACAGACTTCTGGACTATGATTCGTCTTCTTTGTTAAAAGTTAAATGTCTAAGTAATATCATCAGCAACGTTAGCTATAGAGACGTAGCATATAGATATGTATGAGTAGTTGACACTTGACAGTCAATATGATATCAAAGTGTTCTGGTGATTTTAGTTGATTACGTAGTGTGTGTAATT